TCATTTGACACCGTCTCTCTAGAACTATTCGTTGCGGTAGAAGAATAAAGAGTCTATTATGGTAATATTTTTCTTTAGCAGCCTTGACGAATCCCTAATAGGTAATGCGGAATATTTTACAAAAATGTATAAAGTCCACATGGATGGTGAATGTCTTGATTAAGTTGAGGCAACGGAGATTTGGCATTCTAAGGCCTGTGGTGTACCTAAGTATTATGGCCTATGTAGCTTAGTTTTATAGTTTTTCAGTGGAAAAGCCGTATTGAAGGCATCCATTGGAACAAATTAAAATGAAGAATGCATGTTTTTTGATTAATATCATTATTATTGACCTAAAAAGACCATGTAGGTAATTACATGTAGAGGAAACATCACGAATACAACCATGCACCTTGCCGGGACTCGAACCCGGGACCATCGACATACGAAGCAGACTATCGACTACGCTGCCCGTCGACTTTATCGCGAAGATTCTAATCGAATCCATTTTCCTCGTTAAATGTGTAATCCTAACGTAGCTAAAATATATGGGCTCGTTTTGCAGCTATAATTCTGAAAAGTAATGAGAAGTCAAGCAAGTAGGTATTAACCAGTTTCTTTAAACTATATTGGTGAAAGTAGGAGAGCGGGCTAGAGAAATGCCACACCTAAAATAAGAAAATTCTAATAAATTAATAACCATATCCTTCTGGAACCCTGTATGTGACTGACAAAAGCCTTAAAACAAGGCTTGGCGTATTGTTATCCTCATCAACAGCAACCCTTTGGGATGTCGTCAGTCAGTATAATCAATGGAGTACTGCGTCCTGGAAAATAACTGGGAATAAGGACCCAAAGAACAAACGTAAGATTTATTTATATCAAAAACTACTACATACTAAAATTATAATCTAATCTCAACGATAAAATACAGTATTCGCCAAAATAAACAGTACCTACCGAATATACAAATTATATTATTTATTAATTTGAATAATGCGTTTGTTTAAAATGTGCACCATAGCGGCGCAAAAAAAATTCATAACGATTCTGCAAATCATTAAATATATTAAGAGTGGTTGCTGAAATTTTTCTGAGACTTCATTCAAACTGATAACTAATGCCAAGTAAGCGAAATATGATAAAAGCAACTTTGTGTGCGCAATTCCTCAGAGCTCTAAATTTCGGTAGGTAGGTACTGTATATTTTGGCGGTTACCGTACAATAAAAGGCTTTTTAAAACTGCAAAACTAAAAAAAATTTACATACTAAAATTATAATCTAATCTCAACGATAAAATATAATAAAAGGCTTTTTGAAACTGGCAAACTGAAAAAACTACTACATACTAAAATTATAATCTAATCTCAACGATAAAATATAATAAACCAGCATAACACCTACTGTTTTAAAATTGTTTATACTTCCTCATCATCTTCGTCCACAAAGGAATCGATTCTGTATGGATTAACCAATTTATCATTTTTACCTCCTTGAATATCGCTACTAACGGTTATAGTGCTGGAAGATGATGAAAAAGTTTCGGATTTCGGAAAGAGTAACATACGCAGATCGTTTCGACCTGAATGGGTTGTTACTATTGGAGGTAAGGATGAGTCCAACATTTGGACGGGTTCTGAATCGGTTGTAGTTACAATTGGAGGGAAGGATGAGTCCAGCATTTGGACTGGCTTTGGATCGGTTGTAGTTACTGTTGGACGTGAGGATGAGGCTAACACTTGGACTGGCTTTGGATCGGTTGTAGTTACTATTGGACGTGAGGATGAGGCTAATACTTGGACTTGTTCTGGATCGGTTGTAGTTACGATTGGATGTGAGGATGAGGTTAACACGTGGACTTGGTCTGGATCGGTTCTAGTTACTATTGGACGTGAGGTTGAGTGTAACATTTGTACTGGCTTATCAATAACTTTTTCCTAAAATAAAAAGTAAAATAATTTATTTATGAAAAAAAAAAAACATCACAGTCTTTACAACTAAAAATTCATATTTTTATGGAGACTATCGAGAGGTAGAAATAGCGTCACTACAGCGATTAGCTATTCCTTCGTGTACCTAATATTTAGTATTGGGTAGATTATTTTGTAGTTTTTGTCACTTTGTTAGATACCTACTATAGATATTATAACTAGAAAATAGAATAGGTATAGGTATAGCATAATATACAACCATCCAGTTAACACCTGCTGAGAAGCCATTTTCAGTATCAAACAGGTTGCAAGAAATGAATATAATTCCACTAATTTATTGGTCTTCAATAATTCGTTAAAACAGTGGAATATATCCTCTGGATAAAGTCATTAAAAATCTACGTCGAAAATATTTTTCCCGAAAGGCCCAAAAGTGTGACAAACGGCAAAAGTCGAGATTTGTGATAAGAGTAACCCACATTATGTTTTAGTTATAAGCTATTTTATTGGTGCTGAATCTATGATATTTGATCATCGGCTAATTCCTGATACTTGACATAGCTTAGCTACTCACTGAATGATCAGCGGAACAATTCCATAGTGAACACAGAGGCACATTCGGCAACAAAATGATTAACCTTAATGTCATCTAACATCTAATCTAAGGGGTTTGGTGAGTCAAAAAGAACGTCCTCTTTCGGACAATCAATTTGTTAGTGGGGTTAAAATTTAATTTTTTTGAAATTAGTTTCAATTGATTTCGGATCTAATTATATGAAATTCTTACCCTTGTTTTGTCTAGGGTACCTCATCCAGTTTAGTACTATTTACCAGACTCCATCGCAGTCGTTGTTACTGATGCGATGTAGTGTTTCGTTTGTCTATGTTAATTTCGTAAGTTTTAAAAAAATATTTTAACCCTATAAGAAGCAGGCAGACTTAGCAAGTCCTAGAAATAATTATATTATTTTGTAGTAAGAGAAACTCTTTTCAATCGTATTATGTATAGCTAAGTCATAATTATTAACTTATATTTTGTTATAAAAAAAATTCTGAAATATGAGCTTTTAAGGAGAGTATATAAATCTAGGAAATGCAGAGGAGGTAAGGAAGGTTTTTGCAAATCTGCACAAGTAAGTGTGCGAGAAAGTTCAAATTGAAGGAGATGTTTTTCAATTCATGAATTTGATCCACTCTTTATGACACCTAATTGGAAGTACTGTGAATTTTGAGGAAGTAAGTATACTTATTTAGTAGATTTCTTCGTGATCAAATTTAAAAATTTTCACAGCCGTCATCATACAAAAGTTACAAGCAGAAATATATACATAGGTACCTATAAAAAATAGGCGCAAAAATACAATACAGATGGTGATAAAGAACTGAGAGTTTACTAGTTATGAAGTCGTTCTCATCCCTAATATCCCTGTCAAAAAAAACCCCTGTCTATCAGGTACCTTTTCAACAAGTTTCTAAACTCGATGAGCGGAAAGGACGAGATACTGCCAAGGAGCAACTTGTTAAAGATCTCCGATACAGTTGTGTATTGCGAACTATGTGACAAAGTCAAAGGATGGTCAAAAATGGCACCCACAAAGCTAGTGCCCTTCTTCGAAGCCTGCAACTTATATTAGCCTGTAAAGGTTCTTCGATTCGAAATAGCATGCTGCTCCTTCAAGGAACAACTCCAGAGATTCAGATTTTTTTTATACCGGGGCTATTGATTGGCTTGTAATTATCCAAGAGTCTGCATTTTTGCTAAGTCTGTCTATTTTCCAAATGCGTAATGGAAGTCACATTGGGTCGTTTAAACGAAGATGAGACCATCAACTCACCAACAATTTATCTGCAAGAAAGTTGCTAACGTTATTTTGGGTCAAGTTTGGGGACTGGCATATCCTTTAATTTATTATTATTATCACCCTTTATTAGCAAATTAATTGCTCTCAACAAGATCATTACAAATACAAACAGCTAGGCAAATAAGTATTTACATCCAAAAAGTTTTACAAAGTCTTCACATAATGAGCACATTTTGTTTTAAAAGTTCTTAATGAGTTGCATTCTTTCATGTCCCTAGGGATACTATTAAACAATCTTAAACCTACACTAAACACAGTTTCACTTTGGAAATCAGTAATATAGAAGTCATTCACTGATCTTGACCTAGTATTATGAGTATGAATATCTCTAACATAAACCACCTCATCAGTTAAATATGTCGGCAACATATTATTTTTAAGTTTGTAAACAAAGACTAACATATTGTATGAAGCTGGATGATGAACATTCAACAGATTTAACCTTTCGAGCATACTTCTAATAGGAGTTCGCTTATTGCATAATAAAATTGCCCTCATGCAACGGCTTTGCAGTTTCTGTAACATGTTTTTTTGTCCTGTATTTAAAAAATGAAATAATGTTCCACAATAATCAAAATGTGGTGCAATTATTGATTTGTAAATTGTGAGTTTAGTGAATAGTAAAACTTTATTATTTAGCCTATACATAAAACCTGCTTTTTTCGCGATTTTCTTTTTTATGTACTCACAGTGCAGAGAAAGGTTGAGCTCAGGGTCTATCATTACTCCTAGATATTTGAAATATTTAACCTCTTCAATCTGAGCATTATTGATTAAACTTTCTGCCGACATTTACAATGTCCACAGGCTGTTTTGAGGTGTTCTTCGCATTTTCTATGGATCTCATCAGCTCTCATTGCTCAATCCATCAAACCAGGAAAACTCTACTCGCGAGCATATTTCAACTCAACCATAGATAAAATAATAAATAATATACCTATTAATTATACTGATGAATACCCACATAGCCAATTCTCAGTAGCATTATTGAAATAATTTATTATTGTAGCGGACTAGTCAATGATGTTTTCAGTACCTACCTATCTATCGTTTGTTGCATATTTTCAATGACTGGCTTATTTGGAATTTCAATGTCATTAATAAACTTTGCCTAAATCAGACATTTTGATTATGACTACCGAATTTTGAAGGAAATCGCCGAAAAAGATCGCAATAATCCAATATATCCTGCTTAATTGAGATCAGCAAAAAATACAAAATACACATAAATCTTACAACATATTTATTATTCACAATATTTTCCAGTAGTAAAATCCACAGTACAAACGTATTCTGACTAGATTTGTTACTGTCAAAAAAATGTTCTTTGTGAATTCCTATTTTTTGTTTGTAAGAAAAATAAGTTAATACCTACAGATATCTTATACTTATAATGTGCCACCTAAGTTTGTTGAAAAATTATTCGAGTTTTTATTGGCTGTGAGGCTGTGGTTTTTAATGTTTCTATGATGGAGACGAACTAGATGGACTTGCAGATCTTAGACGATTTCATCCAGATATTGATGGATTTGAAGAAGAAATTTCTGAAAAGTAGGACATTATTGCTATTCGCTATCTTCTAAAGCATGTTGCATCGCATAAGGTACCTACCTAAAAATGTATATTTTTGTGTTATAACTAAACTGCTTTCGAGCAAGGAAATTTTTTCGCCTAACTTTCAAGCTCAATATTCTTGGAACCAGACCAAATATCGACCTCCGGTTTTCACAGGCTGACAGATTGACTTTTTGTGAAAAAAAATTCTATATGGAAACTAGTAGAGGTCGGTTTTTTGGTTCCAAAAATATCAAGCTTGGAAGTTAGGCGAAATTTTCCGTTTGCTCGAAAGCAATTGTCCAGAAGGTTATTATCATTGGACAATGAATTCCAAAAAATTAATAGCAGATCTCCACCGAAGTTATTTTCGTAGGTACCAAGTTTGGTTAATTTGGGTCAAACAGTATTCTTGTGATTTTTTTACTGGCTGAATCCTCACAAGGTGGCAAAGCCCCTACTCGCAAACCTTAAATCACATCTGAAAGCTGAACATATAATTTGGTAATAACAATTAGATTGGTGAAGTTCTACACTCAATTAATTTTTTATGTAGTACTGTAGTACTAAGCCCTTTTTTGATAGTATAAAATCGATTAAAACTCTCATGAAAGCAGAACCTGCTGTTGGAGCAACCTCAACTTTAAATTCTAATAGCTTTCATAAAGGTTTAACGTTCATCAATCTGTCAAGTCTGGGATGATGCTACTTTTAGGATTCAAATATGATTATTTCTTCTGCATATGGAAATAAGAGTTGCATGAATTTATCAATAATTATTCGTATAAAAATTGGATTGAGAATATAAGATTCAGAACTGCATATTCTTTCTAAAAGCTAAAGTTGAGAATACTGAGAAGCTGCAAATGAGGACAGTGTGTCATTTGGTGGGGATTTTGCTTGAGTCTTGGAGTACATACCTACTTCTCTTGAGGCGATTTAGGCAAGCTTTGGTTGGTATACCATTTGGTTAACCAATTGGTACCTGCAACGTCATAGTAATGACGTAAAATACCATTTTGTTCCGAATTCGTTTGGTAGGTCATAGGAGAGGGGAAGAGACGAGCCTTAACCTAACTTTGTGTTGTTCTTCTAGTTTTGGGAGTGACTAGGTACTGACTGCACTGACTAAAATGTATAATCACTAATCAGCACTGTCTAGACAGTACCTTTGAGTAACTCAGCGTTTTCTGTAAATTTAAAGCTGTTAAAGTTACCTCATATCTGTCGTTCAGAGCCGTTTTTCAAATGATCGTCAAACATTATTTGGCAGTCAAAACATACGAGAAATCAGGAAGATGAAGGCGAAAAAACAAACATATTTGTTAAAAATTTCAAATTATTCAAATTCTAATGAACTTCCATTTATTTACATTTTCCAGAGCAGGACAAAACGAAAATAGACGTAGATAGCACTATACCAAATAGAAGAACCGTGCTGCTGACCACGGTATCCTATTTGACAGACCAAAAAGGATACCAAAGTCACGGTGACGACATAATTTTCGTATCCGAAATTGGTTGGTATGCATTTGACAGACCAAACAGGGTACCAAACCATGTACCAAAGCTTGCCGAAATCGCCTCTTGTCTTTTGGAAAAATCAGAATTTAGGCTTCTCTATTACTATTTTTGAAGCACACCAAACAACTTTTAAAAAAAAACAAATGAAAATAACACTTACATGAAAGTTTCATTGCATTTTGAACAAAAATCGCCCGACCCGAAATGCCAAATGATTGTTAGGGATTAATGATTATTATCAAGAGAAACAATTAAGACGATGAGTAATATAAATAACTTTAATAAGATTTGAACAAGGATCTGTCCAAAAATCTATAAAAGTTTCCCGGGCATGGTTTTACCGCTCTGCAGACGCTGATTCTCACGGAACGCGATGTCTCTAATCGCCACAACTTCATCCAAAAGTGAGCAAAAGTAAATTAGATTTTGCATCAACAGAATAATATTGGAGTCTCAGAATTACAATTTCCAACGTCTAGAAGACCATACATTATAGCATTGTACCTTTTTCTGTTATCGGATGGTACAAACCCTTATCTTGCTCAAGAACATTATTATTATGTAGTGAACTTATATCATCTTATATGTTAATTGCATGATGATCGTACTGGAAATACTATCTTTTGTGGTTCATACCCTTCTCGTAAAATGAAATCTCCCCCTGACAGGCGATACATATTTATGTAACTTCTGGTTGGTTGGACGATAATATAATATTAACATTGTCGAATCCTGGCTCACTTTTCATGAAGTCAATAATAATGCCAGGCGGCACTCGCCTATTCACCTAGTTGAGATAAATCCAGCCTCTTTCGCCATCCCGGGTCAAAACAAGTTTTTTCTCTTTCCACGTTTCAGCATTACCCAATGGCTTTCCTTTTTTCTTCCCCTTCTAAGAAATTGTGTTTTTTAGTTCTTGCCTTGTCAAGGTTTTGTAGAGCCTGTACATTATTGCAATTCTTCAATTAGGTTACCCATTTTCTTCTATAAATAAGATCTTTTTTATCAATAAATCACAATTGGCACAAGTATTTCTTTTTAGGATCCTATAGCTGATAACAATTTTGTCTTTCAAGCACCTTGTTTTGAATACTTAGGGCATTGTCATCATTCAAAACAATTTCCATTGGACAGCTGTGTACCACCTAAGAACTTTTCCGGTGGAGCTTGCATTATTAGGAAAATCCGAGGGAGTCGAGGGAAGCTTAGATTTTTTTTAATGATAGTGGGAATTTCGGAGGTGGTGCCCCTAGTATATGACAATGTATATTTTAGTTAATTTTGATAATCTCACTCATATTGTATAGAAGTGCACCTAAAAGTATCCAATTGGTTATGTGAATTTTCCTAAAATCCGATATCCATTACAAATAAAGATTCAATCTTAATATTTACCTATCAAATAAAAATACAACTAGTTTTAAAAATCTTTGTTATAATATGGTTTCATACCCAGATAATGAAATAAATAATAATTGATTCTTTCGGCACAGGTATGCCTTAAAATGGGATAATTTCAATACGAATCAGACAAACATAACTACAAAGACATAGCGGAGCAGTTTCAATGGTTAGCCAGTTCTTTAAGTCATCATATCTTTTGAAAAATTCAGCATTATGTTTGAATAAATTTCAATCACAAATCCGTGGCCTGAAGGAAGCCAAGGCAATTAAATAATTACATTGCGTGAAACAAATATCATTCAAGGATAAAGGACCCTGCCCAAAGTATACGGAAATTGTGTTTGGGTCAGAATCAGCTGAATTTTGTATATAATGTAGATCACACCTCTCTGATTAAAAGTTACTATTGCACCAATCCTGAAAAATTACTCCTTTTTGAGAAAATTAGTTTCATAGGTAGAACTAAAACGCTTGGACATTGTAATGGACGTTCAATGTATCACGAATAGGTGTAGAATAGGTAAGCTTGTGGTGCAGTGGTGTACTACGTGGAGTCATTTTTCAGGATTGGTGCAATGGTAACTTTTAATCAGAAAGGTGTGATCTACGTTATATACAAAATTCAGCCAATTCTGACATAAACACAATTTCCGTATACTTTGAGCAGGGTCACAGCCTCCTATACTTAACAAGCTATGAAGTTGGAAATGACGGCAACGTCGCGTATGGTGCTATTTTGTTATTGGGTTATGTGTTTCTGTGTATTGCGTTCATTGTGTATTGTTGAAATTTAGTATTTTTATGGGCATTATTGACGAAAAAGTGGATAGAAACACACCAATATATTGCCCATATTTAGCAAATGGGTACAGGAGCAAAAATGAAGGTAAGGTAAGGTAAAACAATAAAAACAATATTAATATTTGTCTGCAAGAGCATAGGTCTCGATATATTACCTAAGATATTTAAACTTGTTCCAGATGCCATGAAACTACTGTGTTCCTGGGTGCAAATCGAACTATTAGGAGTTCCTTAAAAACTGAAGAAATGCAAACATTTTTATTTCAAAAAAAAATCAGAATTGCAAAAAATGTAAATGAAAGCAATACACCAAGATAATTATACCCGAGATTATACAATAACGGAAAATTCTGTGGTGTGTTGTAAACATTTTGAAGAAACCGAAATAATTAGATTTGAAACAAACAAGGATAAAGGCGTAGTTCGAGAGTTCAAACTAAAACGTCCAACTCTTAAAAGTAGGTACCTCTTATTTTCGAAAATCAGCTCAAGTATTTGAATGGACTTGCCTTCCGAAAAAATCCCGAAGAAAGAAAAAGTTAGATTTTCAAAAGACATACTGAAACATAGGCCTATAACACTTTAGACTCTAGAAATATATTCATTTAAATCAATTATTTACTGTTCTTATTTACACAAATAGTTAAATTATTCATTGAACTACTGTTTTTGGCCCTTTAGTACAATAAATTATGCATTTTTTGTGATTCATATTAATAAAATAAAAAATATATATTTATACAAACAAACACCACCAGCACCACTTGGCGGTAAGATTGCGGTGTTGCCTTTTTAACTTCATGGCTTGTTAAATGTAGGAGGCTGTGGCAGGGTCCATTGGAACTGACAAATAATGACCCAACTTTGATCAGTTAACATCATTTTACAATGTTTTAATAACATATGCACAATACCTATGTTTTGAAATACATAGAAATATTTTTTAAAACACATTATAGTTCCAACAAAAGCAGTACTGATGATAAATCAAATTAAATTGAATCACAGATATCCTAGTCATTTATTTGGAACTGGAGATCCTATATCATGTGAATAAGGAGATATACATTATAGATACAATAATCACAGCTTATAATTATTTGTCATACGAATACATATTCTTCAAATTATTCAAGTAAACTATGGAAGCGTTTTATTTTGAAATAAATGCTCCTGTAAGAGCGTAAATAGTCAAAAAAAAATTATAGGCAATTTTTCCAGAATATAAAGAATCTTTCCCTCACTTCTCGAATTTTACAGGCTTTTTTAGTTACATACCAAAATGTTTGTTTGTTTATTGGAAAATTATCCTGAGAGGAGGCAAATTTTATAATTATACTCGCAAATTTTAATTATTCAGCTACAGAAAATATCATTATCTGCTCACTGGTTTTTGCAATATCTACTTTGTGAGGCAAATAAACCATTAACAACATTATATAACAAGAAAAAATTAATCACTATTAACACTACCTCTATGTCTCTATAGTTCCAATTTTTTAATGATGGGATTTACCAAAAACATGGCTGAAAAAAGCTGTCACAATTTACACATTTTATTAAAAAAAAATTGTAGCAATCCGACAACATCACAACTATTTTATTATTTATTTATTTATTTTTTGAGTGTAATATGCTATCCCAAAGTTTATTTTAGTTATACTTATAACTCTATATTTTTAAGTTAAACCCTAGTTTTTTTTGTTTCATAAGCTTTTAAATTTTAAGTTAACATATTAATAATTGCAAAACAGAAAAAAAATTAAAAACAAATTTAAAATTTGTATAGGTATTAAGAATGCAGTAAGTACATGCAAGTTTTCATTTTGGAGCAGTCACATATAAATAAAACAAACATAAATAATATGCAAACTAGTTTATCAGAGTTTACATCTAGAGGAAGAATACAATTGCAGTGGAAATTACTTCACTCCTTTTTAAATACTTGATAAAAAGCTGATAACTAATTTATAAACTCTTGTTAAAATTTAATAAGGAATTCATTATTTACAAAAGAATTGAAGCTTGAAGCTATAAAACCATTAAAATGAAAATTGAAAATTACATCGTTCTGCCTTGTTTACTAGAAAAAAAATTAGATTAATTTACATAGATTATATAAGATTTTCACAATGTTCTATTTATTTCCAATGGTGTATTATTTGTTTGTATCAATACAAAAATTTTAAAAAAACACATACCTAGGTATAAATAACAGTTTTGACAAAATATCGAATGCAATTTTAGGTTTATTTTACAATGTAAAGGTAATTTCAAATGAAATATGGACTACATTCTTAAGCAATATCAAGTTTGTAGCACCTATTTCCAATAAAATAGCATATTTTTCAACGTCAATTTTTTATAAATTCAATCAAATGTTTTTTAAAAAAATCAGTCTTTTCGACGAAAAAGAGGTTTGTAAAGTATCTTTTGATTAGGATATATAAGCCAAGCTTGTCCAGGGGTCTAGTTTTTGATGAAAGTGCCATCTTGGTTTTCAATTTTATGATGACATTTGGGACGCGAAGTGTTGAAAAAATTGGCGGACTTCTCAAAGAATTGACCACTTTCTACTGTTCATTCCAGTTTTGTCTAATTTCAATTTGTTATTTTTTTTCTGAAATAACAGGTCCTTTTCAAAGAGTAAGTGAAAAAATAGGCAGAAAACCCTACCATTCTCATAATAAAAACACACTTATCAAATTTGGCTAATATACTGATAATTTCAATATTGACATGTCAACAACATTCAGGCATTGGGTTTACAGAAGAACAAACAACGCAAAACACCAACCTAAATCTTGGTACCTGTGGTATTTGCGAAAAGGATTAAAATATTGCATTGGGCCTGAAATTTTGCTCAGTTCCACTGCTGATAGAGGAGTGGCTATTATGACTTTTGAAGGTAAGTCTACAAAACCCGACCGCTCAGCATAGAGAAGAAAAAGTACTTGCAATACAATTGTGAATTGAATATTTTGATATAGGTACCTTTTCGATTATTTCAGGCGGTAACATATTTCATTTGAAACAGCTTTAAACATATTGGACTCAATAAAAATAGTACATCTTTATAATTATTGGAACATGGACTTTTTGCAGACAAGTACATATTCCAAAATAGCAAAAATATTATACACCACTGGAAAAAATTAAACTCATAAACAAAAACTTGACCAAAAATTAGTCAACATAATCACAATACTCGTAAGGCTATTATCTCTCCAGATAAGTAAAATAGAGAATAACAAATTTACTACAACACGCGCTAAAACTAAAAAAAAAAATTAAAATTAGGATCCTATAAAACATAGTATTTGGTAATAAATAATGACGAAAAAAAATGACAAAGTGAAATGTTAACGACTCCATAGTATGATAATAAATGTACAGAAACAACGAGTAAGGCTTCTGTAAGACGCGACCAATGATTTATATCTGCAAAAATACGGACAACACATTTTTTTAAAAAATAATATTCTGTAATAAATAATTTATTAATTGCACCACTTGCAATAATAAATAAACTGCATGGTCAAACTTTTAGTACAATTATTATTATTTAATGAATCAATTATTATACATAGAAAAATCAAATTTGAGGCCACTTCCAAAATTATATCTTTAACTGGCACACATATCATTTATAACAAAATTTGACATATCGGTTATTGGGACCAAATTTCAAAGTTCCAACTGGAAATAATACTTCTTATGTGAGACCTAATAATTGTAGGAATATCGGATACTTCGACCAAACTAATATAGCAACGGAAAAATTGGTGAAATTTGGTTTAATATACTCTCAACTTGTAGAAAAAAGAACGACAATGTACTCTAGGAGAATTAACGATTTATGAAAAGGCGACTGGAAAGATAAACTCATCCAGTTGGTACTATTGCTTGCAGGTAGGTCTAGGTATTTCACGTCTCGGTTCTGTAATTTTCAAATACTCAAATTGTCTCTGAAATCTGAAATCTCTGAAAGAATTTTACGAAAGTTCTTTGATTAGTAGTAAAATGTGCATGTTATTTTCCCGCTTTTTCTTTATCACAAAAATACATATATATTTTTGAGTATTATTTTGAAATAGAGATCTAGAATTTCGTCAGTTCCTTCAATGTCCAATATAAACGATATTCAATGTATAACAATAAAAAAAATTGGCAAAATAATTGATTTAAAAAAACTGTCGTTGGTATTTTGGCAGTTCAAAACCTGTATTCACAGATATGGTAAGATTTAAATTATTATTTTTTTTCATAATGATATAATTAAGGCTAACCTATAATAATTAGTCATTTAAATAAGTTCATAACAATGGTCATCTCACAAAAAATAGGTTCATCAAGTTAACGTTGCCGCGCTGCTGTGGCCACATGGCAACAGTGTGAGGTGTTGGTCTGTCTCACTGTATTGTAGTCATTTTGAACGGGGATTTTTTTTCTTCTTCCTCTTAAAAAAGCAGCAACATCTGAAACCACAACAATCAGTACCACAAATAAACAAAAAAAAATTAAAAAAAAAAAAAAACGATAACATACTTCACATACTTGGTCTCATCCAACAATTCAATTTCTTGATGTTGTGTAATAGGCGTATTACTATGTCCTGCAGTTGGGTCGTCGGTGTTCAGTTCGCCATTTGTAGAGCTCACTACTTGCACAGAACCATGTCGATCCGCAGGAGTTAAGTTTCCTAAGGTGCTTTGCTTTGAAGCTTCAGGCCATGCTGTGTTTTTATTAGCCTATAAAACAAAATGATGTGTAAAAATTTGAATAGCAGGAGCACAAGTACAACCTTTGGAGCGGAATGTCGTTCTCGGTTAGGAGATATAACCACATCGTGAGCCGTAGTTTGAAGTGAACCTACTGGTGTACTCTGAAAAATGGTTTTATATAAGTAAATAATAATCACACACAAAACTTAAAAGCGTTTGAATATGTGTATTTTTAAAAAGACCAAAAAGAAGCTGAACTGGGACTCAACAGATATGAATCTGTATTCCTTTCGCTATAACATTTGCAGTCTATTTCTCTCATATCGAAATCAATAAAGAGGGGACCCCAATAGAAATTGAGATAAAGACATTGTCGCTATTCATTACAGAGTCCCAGCCCTGGTGTCTTTCAGAGTACAATCTTCAAAAAGATTTTTTTTACTACTAACCTGAGAACTAGGTAATTAACGATAATAAAAAAACACCTAGGTCGATAATTCTAGGCCTATTATTTCTGGTCAAATATCAGTGATCAAAGTAATTGTAACCATTATTTTAAACCTGCAACTAACTTTGGCCTGAATGTACTGATAGAAGTGTTCATTCAAATTTACTGTTCAGTTAGAGCACTGCTATCTTCAAGAAAGGATTTTCATGGTTATAGAATGGAAAAATTAGCAAAATTATTTATTACTTGAGGCACATGCAGAAAACCACAAAAAGGGGAACAGACCTTAAGCATTAAGTAAAATGTCAGAGCCAGTTCCAGTAAAGTTAAATCGTTTTCTTTGTCTTTATAATAAAATAAAAGAAGCGAAAATAATCTGCGAATGCTGAGTTCAAACATTTAACAAATCAAATCTGTTAACTTTTTTTGTTAGCAGTAAAAAAAATCTTAATAATATCGATGGAGAAGGCCAATATATACCTAGCACATTATACCTATCGGCGCGGCCTCTGGATATAACAGAGCTGGGTATATAATGCCCTACTATCAACATAGGTACATAAAATGTTTTTACCTCAATGAATTATTCAAAGCTTGTATTTGAAGAAATAAATTTTCATCTTGCAATGCAACGCAAAACAACTAATTATGATAATCTTCACCCGTATCTCCGCCAATGAACGAATTGAAGTCTAAAAGTGCTTGAACCAGAATTCACAACATTTTGAACAATTGATTTAAATCAAGATTTAAATAGTTTTTCAACAGAGTAGAAGAAGCAGCTGCTTCTGCATACCTTTTATCACTTTTTGGCCAGTAGGTTTTCATTCTTTATGCTAAACAATGAATTTCCACAATAAATTTCTTGCATGTAGATTTTGTTTCAGCATCTGATTTTTGCATGAAATATTCTCGAATATGCTTTTTCTTCTTATTTCTCTTGAAAGGTATAGTCACAAATTCACCATTGAACTTCGAACTTTTCAAAAAAAGAAAATCACGCGTATTTGCTTGATAAGACGGAAAGTTTTTTTTTATAAAGATTTATTACAGACCTCAAAACAATTTAGAATAAACTGCCACCGAGGCCCTAATAAGAATAATATAACAGACATATATAACATTCTACTAAGTACCTAAAATTAACTTTATGTTCTGTTTGTTCTAAGGTATTCTTTAAGGTTATGACAATTTTCTTAATCACACCCTCCAGTACAGTCTTTGGTATCTTGTTATAGGCCCTTACGCTTCTATAGCTTGGAGAGTCTTGTTTTTTCTTTGTTCTGGCATAGGTATTTTTTAGTCTTTGGTTATTTCTGGTACTGTAGTTGTAATATTGTCTATTTTAATTTAACTTTACATTTGTTTTAAGCAATTCATTTTGTATGGCATAGATAATTTTGTTTTGTTCTAGTATTTTGAGTTCACATATTTATAAGTAAGGCACACTTTTGTAGATTTCTTCACTAGGGACATAAAAGTTCATTCCAATTATTATTGTTCTGCTAAAAATTGGCAGGAAAACGCAACGCGGCATGAAATAACTTCATCAAAAATAGAAAATAATTTAGAATATTGAAAACAGCAACTTCACAGTAGTAACAATTTAAACAAAAAAAGTCATGATTTTTTTACAATCCCTCGTTATGGGTTATTCCAACATATTTCATTTCGAAAAATAAAAAATTATATGTATAGGTGCCACATTTTCGTCCTCTAAAGGCGAGGATCAGCAACCTATTTTGCAAAAGTTTTTGCGAGTCAGTTTGAGCCGTGCATCCTCGAAGGGTCTGTCAACTCGAGAAAAATATTTTTTTTTAGAAGATTTTTCTTATTTGTAGCGACGTCGTTGTTCAGAATCAGGTTCCAGAATCAGCAGATAAAGTCAAACACTTCAAAACACCAAAAAAAAAAAACGAAAAAAAGCAAGCGCCAGTAAAAAGCGAGGTTAGAAGTTTGTTTATTTGATCGGGCCGTACGTTAATTGCCATTTGCTCAGACTAATCTGTGATCACGTGACCAAAAATCTGTCGCGTCTGAGATGCAAAAAGCGAACTCAGCTTCTATGAGAGATTCAGAAAATGCTTTGTGAGTGAATTCCAGAATCTTTTGGCCAAAATAGAACTTAAGTATAATTGTACTAATATAAATACTTTTTGGGAAAATCTTAAATACCTACTTACATGATGTATTCACCATTTTATGTTGTCAGATTATAAACAACAGCAGGTTGAAATCTGATTGAATATGTTAAGGTGTATATATATTATATATTCGCAAAAAGCACAATTATTTTTCTGTGTAAACTCTACAGTATTCAAATTTCAATTAAATACCTATAGGCCATGCAATGAAGGAAGTTTACCTCAACATAATTAGAAGTTAACATTTTTTTGAGGGGATCGGTCCATTTTCATGTACTAAATAACATATTACGTTTGCGACCTTGTATTTCCATAGGATTTTTAGTTAGGGGTGTCTTTTAGGAGTAATTTGCGGTTTATGGAGAAAGCTCCTCAAAGGGATGGTCCAATAGCAAAAAGTTACAGACGATCGTTGTAGCTGAAGTTTTTTGCTATAAAAAAGTCCTTGACAGCACCCCTTTATCTTCAATAGTTTTCTCTCTGCAGCGTCTTGAATAGTAGCATGTTTTTGTTCAAGGTCACTGAATCAGCGCTTCGCCTGTTTGCGCGCATTTGGTGCAGCAGCGGCCGAATGCATAATCCGATTTTAATTATTCAAATACCACATTATTGCTAATGAAATGCACTCTCCAATACTTTTTTGTTCGAATTTTTGGCTTGAAAATTAAGCGAGCACCACGGACTCGCCTAATGTGCTAGAAAGTTGTAAATTGCCTCGAAAACTACCCCTTTCTTGCATTCACTGTAATTTCCAAACGGGGCCAAATATTTGGTGACAGTTTTCGACAATCGGCAGCCCATTTATTCCTCTCATAATGCTCTAACGGATTTTTTTCTCGTTAATTACTCAATGACTTATTCGCCTGAACAAGTCGCGCAAAATTTTTCATTATTAGCGAGGTTAGAAGTTTGTTTATTTGATCGGGCCGTACGTTAATTGCCATTTGCTCAGACTAATCTGTGATCACGTGACCAAAAATCTGTCGCGTCTGAGATGCAAAAGCGAACTCAGCTTCTATGAGAGATTCAGAAAATGCTTTGTGAGTGAATTCCAGAATCTTTTGGCCAAAATAGAACTTAAGTATAATTGTACTAATATAAATACTTTTTGGGAAAATCTTAAATACCTACTTACATGATGTATTCACCATTTTATGTTGTCAGATTATAAACAACAGCAGGTTGAAATCTGATTGAATATGTTAAGGTGTATATATATTATATATTCGCAAAAAGCACAATTATTTTTCTGTGTAAACTCTACAGTATTCAAATTTCAATTAAATACCTATAGGCCATGCAATGAAGGAAGTTTACCTCAACATAATTAGAAGTTAACATTTTTTTGAGGGGATCGGTCCATTTTCATGTACTAAATAACATATTACGTTTGCGACCTTGTATTTCCATAGGATTTTTAGTTAGGGGTGTCTTTTAGGAGTAATTTGCGGTTTATGGAGAAAGCTGCTCAAAGGGATGGTCCAATAGCAAAAAGTTACAGACGATCGTTGTAGCTGAAGTTTTTTGCTATAAAAAAGTCCTTGACAGCACCCCTTTATCTTCAATAGTTTTCTCTCTGCAGCGTCTTGAATAGTAGCATGTTTTTGTTCAAGGTCACTGAATCAGCGCTTCGCCTGTTTGCGCGCATTTGGTGCAGCAGCGGCCGAATGCATAATCCGATTTTAATTATTCAAATACCACATTATTGCTAATGAAATGCACTCTCCAATACTTTTTTGTTCGAATTTTTGGCTTGAAAATTAAGCGAGCACCACGGACTCGCCTAATGTGCTAGAAAGTTGTAAATTGCCTCGAAAACTACCCCTTTCTTGCATTCACTGTAATTTCCAAACGGGGCCAAATATTTGGTGACAGTTTTCGACAATCGGCAGCCCATTTATTCCTCTCATAATGCTCTAACGGATTTTTTTCTCGTTAATTACTCAATGACTTATTCGCCTGAACAAGTCGCGCAAAATTTTTCAAAAAGTCAAAAGAAAATTAAAATTGTCGCACAGCGCTGAAATTTATTAAGATGGCTTTATTTATTTTCTCATGAATATAGGTAAGCCAGCAGTGATGTGAAGCAATTGAAATTGCAGTATATTCATGAGAACAAAAAATAAACCATCATACCAAATTTCAGCGCTGTGCGACAATTTAATTTTTTTTTAACTTTCCGCGCGACTTGTTCAGGCGAATAAGTCATTGAGTAATTAACGAGAAAAAAAATCCGCTAGGGCATTATGAGAGGAATAAATGGGCTGCCAATTGTCGAAAACTGTCAACAAATATTTGGCCCCTTTTGGAAATTACAGTGAATGCAAGAAAGGGGTAGTTTTCGATGCAATTTACAACTTTCTAGCACATTGGGCGAGTCCGTGCTCGCTTAATTTTCAAGCCAAAAATTCGAACAAAAAAGCATTGGAGAGTGCATTTCATTATCAATAATGTGGTATTTGAATAATTAAAATCGGATTATGCATTCGGCCGCTGCTGCCCCAAACGCGCGCAATCAGGCGAAACGCTGATTCAGTGACCTTGAACAAAAACATGCTACTATTCAAGACGCTGCAGAAAAAAAAAACTATATAAGATAAAGGGTTTCGCGGGGTTTTTTATAGCAAAAAACTTCAGCTACAACAATCATCTGAAACTTTTTGCTATTGGACCATCCCTTTGAGCAGTGTTCTCCATAAACCGCAAATTATCCCTAAAAAACACCCCTAACCAAAAACCCTATGGAAACACAAGGTTGCAAACTTAATATGTTATTTAGCACATGAGAATATACCGATCCCCCCAAAAAAAATGTTAACTTCTAATTATGTTGAGGTAAACCTCCTTCCAAATCCCCATTTCTTGGACTACTACATGAAAATATGTATACATAAGATTCCTATAAAAAATCCATAGACTACAACAGTTTGTAAAAAAAAACATATCAGTTGTTTGTGAAATTCACACGTGACTCGATCTAAATTGTGTGTGGCATGTAACAACTTTCAATAAAATTTTCACCGGATCGAAAATTGATGTATTGTCATAAAAAAGCATAACAATCAATAATGTCCTTAGGCTTGTAAAAAAATACCACAGTAAATCAGCGATTTTATTATTTCTGTATAATTAGGACGGGCAATACAATCGAACGGGAAAGACGAGTATTGCGTTCAGTTTGGGCTATAACCTCCTGTTTACACGCGCACAAGACGAGCAATTTCTAATATAAAAATATTTGGCAAAAAAAATACTCAGGGATAGACTCAGAATATACTCAGCCTAAAGTTAAAAAAAAATATAGAAATTGCAAGATAGTAATTTGTATTTATATTTTATAAATGACACCTGCAAAATTTATTAGATGTCATATTATTTACACATTTCCTTTTTTATATCATAAGTAGAAGTCTATTACGAGGAAAATTCAACACCTTAGTCCCATGTGAGGCCAAAGTAATCTATTTTTAAAATTGTTATGGTAACACTACTTACACTACACACCAAAAATAAACCATTCTAAAATCGCCTTAATTTTATAATCTAATTAAATTCCATAAATAAGATTATCCAATTAGGCTAGCAAGTTTAAATATCGGCAACAAGCAAATTTTACACAAGAACTTTTTGGTTTCTTTTTAGGATATAGAAAGCTTTCTACATTATGTGGGTACCTAATTTATTTTGATCCCATTATTTTATTCTCTCTATATTTCTTATAAAAAAATGTCAAATGACTCTACATTAGCCATTAATTGCAGATTCCAGTACAATACTATGCAAAAAGCCTATTTTTTAACCAATACCTTCAATGGTAATGCTAATTGAAAACAGAAAACTGATACGTTTTGAGATTAAAACAATTATGTAATACTTATTATGGAGGCCTAATAAACCTCTTAGTTTCCAGTAAATAAAAATATGAGAATTTGTATATCATATTTGCATAATAAAATGATAATATGATAAAACAAATTAAGAAGTACTGTAAAAAACATGGAAGCACGAATAAAATTAATTATTTATTTTAATTTAATTTATTGAGAGAAAGAAAATCAAATTCTATCCATTTAAACTACTTTGAATGTACATGTATGTAAGTACCTCGGTAAGTACACTGAAATAGGTAATATTACTACAGATATTCAAGATGATCTTCCTTTTTTCAACATAGTACAAAAGTTGCAATTCACAATTAGCAATACCTACCGTATTAAAAATATAGACTCTAGCAGATATACATATAAAGTTTGCGAAAATACCTTTTCTGATTTAGTTTTCAGTTTATTTGAAGGAGGCGCCTTTCGAATTTGTTGAAGAGCATATAAATTCCTAGGCTGTTTTAAAACAAAATAATATTCACTAAGAAATGTTGAAAAATAGATTTTTTTTTTCAAAATGATCCTTCAAAACACTTACCATTGTTTTTCCAGTCCAATCAAATTCTCCATCATCAACATAGCCCTTTTTCTTGAATAAACTAGTGAACAAATTTCGTAGATACTCGTAGTCGGGCATTTCAAAAAAATCTAATCGTCTAACATATCTAAGGTATGTGGCCATTTCTTCAGGATGATTTTCACATAACGTATCGATGGTAGTAGCTCTCTTAGTATCCCCAATTTTTTGATAACGCTCTTTTAATGTATCAGCCTTGAGGCCTTGCCAAGGTAAGGAGCCTCTTAAAAAGTACATGAACATGTGACCTAGGGCCTCCAAATCATCTCGCCGCGACTGTTCCTTGCCCAAATGGGTATTAATAGACATATATCTTGCCGTTCCTGTCAAAGACTTATGCTCTCGATAAGGTATATGTTTATTTGTTTCTGATTCAATATATTCTTTAGCTAAGCCGAAATCTAAAAATAAAAACTCAGAAATATATATAAATCGTTTGTTTGTCTATAAGTACCTATAATATGAATTATTTTCTCCCTTTTTGTACTCTGCCTGCCAATGAGAAAATTTTCTGGCTTTACATCCCTATAGATCAGGTGTCTTGTGTGAACATACTCTATTCGGTGCAACTAGAAAGTAAAATTAGTTCAGGTCCCTGTGATAAAAAATCTGATACACAGATATATTGAACTTAATGATAATGCTATAACTAAATAGTACGTTGAAGCATTAAACCCCTAAGCACTGCCTCAGAATTTATCAGTGTAAAAGAGTTCCTGTTAGAAGCCTTCAATTTGAAACAGATCAAGTACATCAAATCATTTGTGAACCTTAAGGAAACTAGCAATAAATCGCCAACAAACTAGAGAAAACAAAAATCCGGCGAGCGAAGAATAAAAACGGGTGGGATACGACTGCTGATCCTTGATTCAGAAGGTTAATATTATAACTCATATGTTAATATTATAATACATAAGCTCTACAGATTGTTACGATGAGTAATACTACAAGGTAGCATGAAAGTCAAGAAGGAACAGGTAGCTATTATTCTAGTTTCCATGACGTCAGTCCATAGGAAAAAAAACCACGTAGGCGTCCCAGGGTCGACTTAGATGGACAGTAAGGCATTCTAGATGGCATTTATTCACATAAACATGTTAAGCATGTGGATAGCTGAAATGGTGAAGATAATTACAAGTAAGAAGAGCATAGATCTAGTGGACATTATTTCCAAGGACATGGTGCTGAGGACTATGAAAAGCATAGCTAGCCAGTAGTAGGAGATAAAGAATGATCATGATGTATACAATGTGTCCACGATAAGGAGGGCCAGTATGGGGATCCCAGAAACGGTAAGAGATACGACGTCGCTTAAATTAAAAAAAAAAGTTGCGCAATTTTGTGGTCATTAAAATAGTGCTTTATTGTTTTAAAAATTGCGAGTGCTACCGGAGATATCCAGAAAACCCCAAAATTTTCAAAAATCGACTTTATTTTTTTCTGAGCTTATTTGAAAAGATATTTCAAAATAAATGTCACTTCATCGTAACAACTTTTTCTACTCTACAACATGACATTTTCAAATTTAAAATCTGACGTTTCGTCTTTAAAAAAAAGAAGTTAATGATAAGACCCCAAAAGCAAAACGTTGGATTTCAAATTTAAACGGAGGAAAAGTGGCAACGATGAAGTGCCATTTATTTTGAAATATCTGTTCAAATAAGGATAGGAGAAAATAAAATAGTTTTCGTCAAATTTCGGTTTTTTCCGGATATCTCCGGTAGCACTCGGAATTTTTAAAATATCAACGCTCCATTTCGATGAGCACGAAATTTCGCATCTTTTCTCTAATTTAAGGGACGTCATATCTCATATCGTTTCCCAGATCCCCATACTGGCCCTCCTTATCTTGGACACATTGTATAGGCAGAAGAGAAGGCTGTGCGTTGACAAGGTGAAGACTTATCACGAAAATATATGGTCGGATCGGGGCGATCTTTATATGAGTGTTATATGCAGTGTTACGAAATAACATTGGTGCGGAGAACTGACCCCAATTTACAGTCGTGAGCATTAAAAGTGGGACACCCGATTGACAGGTCTTGTCATTTTTCGCTATTTTGGGTAAATCAGTCTTTTCTGTACAACGGATTTTTTTGTCAAATATGACAATCCCTGTCATTGTCGAATGTGTAGCTGGTGAGCCAGTTTTACAATAGTAAAAATTGGGTGTCCCATTTTTTGTGCTCTAGACTGTACCTAACCACCCGAGCATGAACATGCAGGAAGTAGTTTCCTTTGTGTAATCTAAATAAAAAAGAATTTAAGTAAATTCTAGAGATTTCCCGATTGAATGGCTTTGTATATACAACGGATAGCTCATGAGTTGCAGTCATTTTTGAATAAAATAACAAAACAAGTAAAAGCTATAAGTGATTAGTGAATTTTGGAGGAAGAGATTCTCATCCGTAAAACAATTTAAACAAAAAGAACATATTGAAAAAGCCAATCTTTTTGATTATTTATCAACCTTGAATATCTTATCATATAGGATAACAAATTACAAACTTTATAAGTAGGTACTGATTATCAAACAATATGCTTTAGATTTGAACGAGTTGAACGATATTGTAAAACTATATTATAATAATCACGAAAAAAAGATTATGTTACTGTGATAAAGAACAATGTGAAATATAAGCAAAAAACTTTTGGATTTTTTTTTTATCACAGAAATATTTGAAACTAATATCCCTGAATAAATACTTACCAGCTGAATAGCAATCATAAGAACAGTCTTTAAAGAAAATCTACGTTCACATAAGTCAAAAAGGTCCTCAAGGCTGGGTCCTAGAAGTTCCATTACTAACGCATTGTATTTTCCACAGGGACCGAAGTAATAAACTTCTGGAATGCCCTCTGAAAGCGACAAATATTTTCCTGAACACAGAAAAATTAAATAAGTAATCTACTATTAAAAACTTTATCAAACCCCAACCTTATCCCTGTACATAATTCTAGATCGAGTTCTAGGTATTAATTTTAATATCAAAATCTACATCTATATTTCAGATTAGGCTGTTAAAATTCAACAAAACAATATACACTCGAATACAAATATCCCCATTTACCTTTATTGGACCCCATAAAATTGTAGTTTTTATTTTTAAGCACCTAATATTCTAAATGGATGCGAATCTGAAACTTACCATGACTACCAAGCAGTTTATAAAATCTATACTCCAAATGTAGCTGTGGTGCCTTAGATTTCATGGGTTCCATTTTAATGGCAACATGTTCGTTATTGTACAAGTTCTTTCCAAGTCGCAGTTCACCGAAGTTACCACAGCCAATTTTTTTGCCAACGCGAAAATTAGGTCCTACCATTAAGACACCTGAGCTTGAGTTAACGCTGTGTCTTGTATTGTGAGACTCGCTGACACCTAATCAAAAAAAATATCAATATTATTGATCAGGTAAAAAAGTCGAAGAATATATTAATCGTTAGAGGCTAGACTGTACATTCATTGGAACTAGAACATTGTTCGCTTGCAGCCTATACGAATTGTTGGGTCAAGAGGGAAATAATGAGATGTTGCTAAGGAAAATTTATTCTATATTGCTTGGTTTTTTTTATTTCTATTTTGAAATCAATTAAGCATGGACTTGCAAACCATCTCTGTTAGACTTTTGCGACTTTTGCTCTCTTTTGTGTGTATTTGGATGGATCAGTAGCTGTTCACAGTTTGCAATTTAATTTTAAATTGGTTATGGAAGTAAATTATTTTGCAGGATATTTGGTTTTTGGTTCTGATTTTTTTTGATAATAAAACTTTCTGGTAGGTCTTTGTGGTGGACACTAGAGAACAAAAATGTGAATGTGCCGTACAGGGTAAGACTGCAATGGGGATGCAATTATACATACATACATATTTGTTCGACATAGGCCTATGAAAAATGGCAGAAAGGCAATATATAACTTTTATACAGGTTTGGCAAGTCAACATCTTACAAGCCAATTTTAATGCAATAGAAAGAAATGTCTTTACGGAAACGATTTACCCTGTTCTACCTCCAGCATTCCCAGCGCTCTATGCACTTTATTTTTTATTTTTTTCTCTTTCCGATTTCAAGAAAATGCCTGACATCCAGTAGCTACCAGAAAAATATTATTATTATTATTATTTTTAATCGAGTAAATTATGCCTGAAAATGTAAGTATGGCTCGAGGTATGGTTATTCTATGCTTGATGGTCACAATAGAATAAATTTTTCAGCTCATAATACAGGGTGTCCGGAAAATAGCGTAAAAACTCTCCACTAAGTGGTGGAGGACCCTTCAAGGAACCCCAGAAAAATAATTTAAAAGATCTGGTGGCATTCTCAAGAAAGTTATTTTTTTTTTTTTTTTTATGGATATGCGCACTCGCAAGGAAATGTCCTATCACGCTCGAGAAGCGGCAAGTGCGCGGAAATGTCGGTGTATGTTGATCTTGAAACGGTTCAGGTTGTAACCTGCAAGGAAAACCGTCGCAGGGAGTTTATTCCACAGCGATGCTGTTCTCCAGAGATATGAATTCTGATATAATGATGTTCTTGGTGCCTCTAGTTTGACAGTAAATTCATGGTTACCGTCTGTTTGACGGGTTCGCCTGGTAGGTGCTACTAGTGGAATCATACGTGCCAACTCTTCAGAGCATTTTCCGTGATAGTACCTGTAGAAGAGAGATAAATCGCCCACAGTTCTGCGATGTTCGAGACCATCCAAGTTACGAGTAAGTGCGGGGTCATTGATCAGCTTGATAGCTCGTTTTTGCACGGTACTCAAAAGCATTAAGATATGTTTGGGTGCTGCACTCCATATATGTGAGCAGTACTCCATAGTTGGTCGAATCTGGGCTTTGTAGAGTGTCAGCAATTGGCTTGGTGTGTACAGATGTCTTGTACGAAATAGCACCCCCAGCTTTTGGGAGGCCCTTTTAGCAATATCTGCCACGTGACTGTGCCAAGACATGTTGGTCTCTGCAGTAACCCCCAAGATGTTCAACTGACTCTGTAATGTGACAGCACTTCCAGATAGCATGATGTTTGGCTCACCGGTGCTGGTCTTTTTTGAAAACAGAGCTGCTTGGGTTTTCTGCGCGTTGAACTGTACAAGGTTTTTGTTACCCCAGTCCTCTATTATCTCCAGGTCGTTATTTATCTGCGATATTTGAGTTAGTCTAAGATGGTGGAATTCACGTGCGGACAGACCTGTGGGTGGTATGAGTGAGGAGACTACATTGCTATCGTCTGCAAAGCAATAAAGTGGATTTACTGTTTTATCTATGAGGTCATTTATGTAAATCAGGAAAAGAGTCGGCGAAAGGATTGCTCCCTGTGGCACACCAGCATTTATTTGGTAAGAGTTGGAGTTCTGGCCATCCAGTGCAACATAAATGGATCTGTCCTTTAGGTAACTTTCAAACCAAGTGCAAAGTTTCAGCGATAATCCCATTGCTTTGAGTTTGTTGAGCAGATTTTCATGCCAAACTTTGTCGAATGCTTTAGATATATCTAAGGCAATTGTTCTTGTTTCACCCCGCAACTCAATCGCTTTTTGCCATAAGTGAGTGATGTATGTAAGTAAATCGCCAGTTGACCTATATTTTCGAAATCCGTATTGCTTATCGTTGATAATTTTGTACTTTTCCAAGTACTTGGTTAGGTGATTGTTCACAACTCTTTCCATTACTTTTGATATCACTGGAAGTAGAGCAATTGGTCTATAGTTTAACGGATCTGTCTTTTTTCCTTTCTTTGGAATGGGTTGTACTGCGGCAGACTTCCATGATGATGGATATACTCCTTGCCTGTAAGACAAATTGAATAATTTTGCGAAAGTTGGGGTGAGTTCGTTGGCGCAATTTTTGAGTACTATTGCGGGAATGCCATCCGGACCCATTGCTTTGTTTGTATCCAGCTTTTTTAGGGATTTTCGTATTTCCCTGTGACAAAAGGGTACCTCTGGCATACTATGGGAAACCCTTTCAATGAACGGTGGAGTTTTTCCGTTTGGCACTGTTAGGTTATAGTTGGAGGAAAACATTTGGGCAAGCATATTGGCTTTTTCCTCTGATGTGGCTAAGTGATTATTTTTATCTGTAAGTGGTGGTATGGATGACTTGGTGAAGTTAGATCCAACAGCTTTTGCAAGAGACCAAAAAGACCTAGAACTACTTGGACAATTCAGCAACCTGTTTTTTATTCTTTGATTGTATGTTTCTTTAGCGGAGTCAATAGTAATTTTGCAACTATTTCTGGTGGAATCATACGTGCCAACTCATTTCAATGTTTATTAAAATTGGCAACACTGAAAATATCCCGTTGACAATTTGTCACAGAATTAAATACCTATGTAATTGCCTAAAAAAATCGAAGGTGACTAGAAAATGTTGTCAGTTCAATTTTTCTTGTTATATTGCATATCCTAATATTGCAATTTGAGAAAGAAATCAAAAATAGGGAAGTTGAATTTCCACATTCCTTCATATTACCAAGAATGGTCGAGAAGTATTTTTTAAATTATTTTCCTAGGGTTACTTGAAGGAATGCCTTTACTACGTAGTAGAGAGCTTTTACGCTATTTTCCGCCCACCCTGTATAATATTTTCAACTGTTTTATTGTGGGAACTTGGCAAATCAGACTTCCATTCATTTTGATCACGTTTCCTTTTTTCTACATTAATTCGTACTTTTCCAAACGTTGCTAAAAATTAATTTCTGTAAGTCATTAGCTAATAAATATCAAGAAATATATAAGTAAATATTTAATAGCCAAAAATACAACACGAAAGTAATCATTTTCATGGCAGTATATTACTCGGTATATTATAATAAAGTCGTTGATGTATCATGCAAAAAGCTACTGGTGGTTAATAATTGATATTGACATTTTTACTGAAATTGGCAAGATTAAAAAAATCAAAAATATGGTAAATAATTAGCAAACAAAGTAGCAAAAATTTCCCGCAATTATTTTTTTTGATTCCCCTGGGAAATTGAATTTTACCACTTTTGCCTTAAACAACTAATAATAGGGTACCAATGAGGGTACCAACTACCAAAACACTACAAAATCGAAATATTATTTTTCAAAGTGTATTGGGCAGAAAAAGCCCTTCTATGTGTATCTTTAATTAACAAGACTGTGGGCCTATTAGGTACCTGTTTTGTTTTAGAGGGCAGACAATGGTTATAACTGGATAATGTGTAAAGTTTTTAATGAAAATTAATGACAATAAGTTGGTCTCTACAATTAGGAAATTAGTTAAAAGCTAACTCTTAATTAGTACTAACCTCTGTGTTTTGAATTTTTCTTCTGGTCCCCTTTATCCATCTTGCTTTCGTGATTCTAGAACAAAGAAATATAATATTGAGCAAGGTACTGAGATTAGGAAAGAAAAAAAAAAGTTTTTTAGAGAGACTAGAGTACAATTAGGTATTATTGCACTCAGATTTGGTCTTTCCCATTCACCTTTTAGTCGGGGATCAGACTGCCGAAAAGACGTCTCCTACACATCGAATTCTGCACTCGAAGATATACGTTTTAAAACATATGTACAGTGTGGAGAATGACCTTGCGGATTCAAATCCGGAGGGCTCCAATAAATTCGTAATTGCAATTAAGAAAAAAAAAAAAATTCCGACTATTTTTTAATTATCGTAAAAAAGGTATTTTTTGTGTTTAACTCACGATTGTGACGCCATTTTTCAATATTTTTTCAAAATTCTTGAACCTATTGAAAGCCTAGCTATTGTAGATTTTACCTGCATGTGCAAAAAACTATTTTTTTTAAAACTGAATTTGTCAGATTACGTAAAAGAAGGTGCGGTACCAAAACTGAAGTGAAATTTTCAGCATCGAGAAAATTTTTGAATGGTAGAAGATAAGTATATGATCAATCGACGAAAAATGTGCCTAAATGAGTGAGGAAGTTTTTGGTGAAAATAAATTTGCACTAGTGTTAACGGTTTCCGAGGTACGATTTTTTTTGTGAAACGCCGATGCGTGTCCGCCGCTGCCGCTTCAACGGAGACCTACACTCGGTCCGACCTATACTTCAATAATTCGGTTAAAAGAAATTAGGAGGCCATTCGATCATGACCTGTAGGAAATGGACGAACTATTCAACTATTTATTCTGTTTTAATAATTGTTTTTTTAAAATACGCAATTGATATGGACGGAATATAACCGCCTTCTCAAGAATATCGTCATAATTACCGCTGGAATGGCAGAAAATACCTACACTAGGTACTTCACTATCTTCAATTTCAATTTATGATCAACAAACTTTAAGTAAAATCTGGTTTTTTATTAAAGATAAAATTCAACATTACATAATGTTAGCAATACATTGGCCACTTTCACCAGATACAAACGTTGATGGTAAACGCATTGCGATTTTTCTGCTGAACGCTACGTTGAAACCAAACATGTTTTGCAAACGGTCGCCATTTTTGCAAGCATAAATTAAAAGTGTTTTCAAAATAATTTTCAACACTAGTGTTTTGTGTGGTGACATGACATTCAGAGGGTGACGTTCTATTATTGAAAAGTTGAATCGTTCAGCAGAACCAAGAGTTTGCCCAACATATTCTGTTGGTATTTGTGAACTGTTTACAACTTGTTTAAGTTCTGGTGAACGTAGCCAATGTAACACAAATTTTTGACTTGGGGTTTTGCTCGGGGTTTTATTTAAAAAAAAAGACTTTACAAATTATATGGTATAGATACCTCAGCAAATACTTCTAAAATACTGCCTGAACTACACTTTTCCCACCACAATAAGGCTTGCACTAGAATATTTGCTATTATCCAATAATCCAATACTTGTCAAACCTACAGTACCATCAAATAATAATAGAGTCGGCCGATACCGACATATTTGTTATGTCTCTCTACTTTATTACAAAGATTATCCATTCAGGAATTATGACTACACAAATTTGGCACATAATACCTGTGCACCACAACATAAAAGAATTATCCACGGATAAATCTTGTTCAAATGGATTTGAGTAACGATATAGATGAATTAAAGGCACTTCTAGATTACTCCACTACAATAATTTAATGAGTTTCGAAAACGCAGCTAGATATTTTTTCAAAATTTTGTGTGGTAAGGGTAGGCCATCATTTACAGAGTTTAAAATAAACAATATGTCATGCGCACATCTATTTCATACCTGTAAATCTGATATAAGGAATTTGCCACCCACAGAGGATGCATTTCATCAGCAAAATCAGCAAGTGCCTAATATTAAGAAAGAACTGCCTATGAAATAATTGTGTGGAAGAGTGCGATTTTAATAAATCCAGAAATTCACAACCCACTTAATTTTGGTTGGAATCTGAAATATATTAAAATTAACCACAATAAGTAACCATACTGATGTAAGATTCGAAAAGGGTGCTGCAAATGCAAACTCCAGATATGCACTAGAAACTAAACTGTAGTTGTTTAAAAGCAGTGCTGAATGGTATAAGAGGTTGCTATTCTGGAGGCGGGTTTTATTCAAATTAAAATTAAGTAAGTTTTAGTTACCTAATTAGGTTTTATAAAAATGTCTGTCCTTATAGAATCAATAAGTACTGTCGAAGTTAGGCTGCGCTGGGGCCAGGGTACGGGCAAGGCGTCCGTTGAGATCAATGCGGCAGCGGCCGGCGCGCATCGTCGTTTCAAAAAAAATCAAATCTCGGAAACCGTTATCGCTAGTCAAAATATTTTTTCACCAAAAACTTCCTCATTCATTTAGGCACATTTTTTGTCGATTGATCACATATCTATCTTCAACCGTTCAAAAATTTTCTCGATGCTGAAATTTTCACTTCAGTTTTGGTACCGCACCTCCTTTTACGTAATCTGACAAATTCGGTATAAAAAAAAATAGTTTTTTGCATATACAGTTGAACTCTACAATGACTAGGCTTTCATTTCGTGCAAGAATTTTGGAAAAATATTGAAAAATAGCTTCACAATCGTGAGTTAAACACAAAAAATAGTATTTTCCGGATAATTCAAAAAAGTCGGAAAATATTTTTTTATTCTTAATTGCAATTACGAATTAAATGGAGCCCTCCGGATTTGCATTTGCAAGGTCATTCTCCATATTGTACATATTTTTTAAAAAGTATATCCTCGAGTGCACAGTACGTGATCAAATTTCGGCGTGCTGATTCCCGACTATTTTTTCTCTAGGCCACTTGTAAGTAGTTAGCACCCTTATTTATAGCATCCGTAACTTTCTCATAAGTTCTTGACTAGTTCTCCTAGGGGTGCAGTAATAATTGCAGTAGAAGTTGAAATTTAAAAAAAAATAAAAAAAAAATAGGGTTACTAACTTCATGGCGCACCCCTCGGCGCACCCTTAATTAATTTAGAGGAGTTCTGATGAGTGATGACATTTGTTGGTCTAAGCACTATAGTTCTTGATACAATATATATGCCTTTCAGATATTATTGGCGAAGCATCATCCTTGGAAATTTGACCCTTGTATAAAAATGACATTTGATGACAAAATATTTTTTCAAACTAATTTAAAGAAAATTGGCTACGTAGTAAGATTATTTAATTTATGTGAAATAAAATAATTCGAACGTACCATAACAGTAACCTTAACAGCATAAATATGTTTCCGCAGTAACCTTTTTTTTTGGGTTTTGTCGAGTTTGGTCCAACAAAGATATTGGTTGCTGGTTGTAAGAAATGGCTTTAAATCTACATTTAAACTATACCTACCCCAAATATATCTGGTAGTTGGACTTCAATTATTATTTCCTGAAGAACCTCTGGTTTGTTTTTCTTTAATAGCCATTACATTTTATTATTTTCTCTTGTAAAATTATTTTGGACATCTTAAATATGAAATAAATTTGACAATGCTGAAATTTAAAAAATGTCATTAGATTTTGCAGGTACGCAAAATAGTTAGGTACCGTTTATAAAATAGCACTATTTAAAAATGCATTGATAAATGTGTCAAGTTATTAAAGGAAGACTGCTGAGCTAAGACTTATTTATTGATCCCAACTAGTTGATAACTTATAAAGGGTGATCCAACTAGTAGTGCTTTAGGATTTTAAAGTGAAATATAGGCAACACTGTACAGGGTGGTCCAAATTGGACACTTTCTTATGGAAACACCCTTTATTTTTAGAGATAGACAAAAATGAACCCCCCACTCTGAGGCTCAAATTTTAAGAAATTTTGATTGGTGCAAACCTCATTTTGATATCTTCAACCATTTAGCCGCTAGAGGGCGATTCTCGATTTTGAGCAATACTGTGAAACCCTCATAACTTTTTTGTTTATGAAAATAATTGATTTCCGTAAAGACTTCCTAAGAGCACTTTTTTAATAGGAATTCAGTGACGTTCTCAGTTTTTTTCTAATTGACTCGGATTTCGAGATATTGACCAAAATCCGATTTTTTTCAATAGAACACCCTATATATTAATAGCTTATTGGAAAGCTCTGCTTTTGCTGAGTTCAATGATATAAAGTTCAATAGGTTTATCCCTAACAGTTTTTGAGAAAAAAAATTATTTCTGTTTTTGTCATAAGAAACAATGTGTTAGAAAGAGACCTTTCTCGTTTTCATTACAGATATAAAGTCCTTTTCCAACACCTTGTGTCTTATGACAAAAATCAAAATAATTTTTTTCTCGGAAACCGTTGGAGATAAACCTATCGAATTTTATATAATTGAAATCAGCAAAAGCAAAGCTTTTCAATGAGCTATTAATATATAGGATGTCCTATTGAAAAAAATCGGATTTTGGTCAATATCTCGGAATCGGAGCCAAATAGAAAAAAGCTGTGAACGTCACTGAATTCCACTTAAAAAAGTGCTTCCAGAAAGTCTTTACAGAAATGAATTATTTTCATAAATAAAACAGTTATGAAGGTTTCACAGTATTGCTCAAAATCGAGAACCGCCCTCCAGCGGCTAAACGGTTGAAGATATCAAAATGCGGTTTGCACCAATCAAAATTTCATGAAATTTGAGCCTCAGAGTGAGGGGTTCATTTTTTTCTATCTCTAAAAATAAGAAAGTGTCCAAATTGGCCCACCCTGTACATGCCAAAAAAAAATTGTTTGGTAGTTTTTTATTTATTTATTTATTTACGGGCATGGCCCAATTTCATAAAGTAATGTAATACATATAACATTTTATACACAGAATAAACTCGTTTTAATAATAATTATTTTTGAGGCAAACAAAAAATAGCATAACAGCTCCACTATTTTAATTTTAATTTATATGAGGTTTGAGGTATAGAGATTTCAAGCTAAGGCACTCAACTGCTATCAACTGCAAATCAAGCCAGGAACACTCGTTTGCCAG